CTGCCAGCTGCTGTTCACAGATGCTTATCAGTTGCATTAGAGATGCTGCTGGAACGCTTTCTTTTGTATAAGCAGCGCATGCGCTGCCCTTCTGCTTGATATCAGCTGTCTGCTTAAGGCTTTTAAATACCCTATGCTCAAATGCAGCTGTGGGGTGTATGGCTCTACAATGTAATATACGTGTCTTCTCTACATTTCCCTACAATATGTATCAGTTAATACTCTCTATTCTCGGCCCCTGCATTAGATAATGTTAGTCGCCTTTTACACTATGCAACAAGCCTTTGTTCTGCTCACCTTGCAGCTGCCTGCCATTGTGTCTCTCGAGAGAGATAAGTGACTCGACCGACTTCCTGCCTCGACTTCACTCGCATTGGCATTGTTAACAGCTCAGTGGGCCAAAAGTCTGCAGTTGTCTATGCTGAGGCAGCAGTTGCTCTTTGCACCTGTTGTGATTATGAAATGCAAAACCCGACTGGGGCAGGCCGACAGCAGTCAGCGGGCCAGATAGCACTGCCAGGCGGCCGTAATCAACATCATTATGATTATGTATTATTGTAAGTGTTTGCTTTTGTGTTCGCTGTGACAAAAGATAACAAACTGCTTAGAATGCGCGCAATTGTGCACTGGGGGCTAATGAGACAGGCCGCTGACGGAAGCACGGCTCGAGATGAAAATGGAGATGGAAATGGAAATGGAGATGCAGTCGATCGTCAAGTACATTGTAATTGTCAAAGCTCAGCTCGTTCTTACCTTGAGCGAGGCAGCAGCAAGTGCAACTGAATCTGCATGCCGCACGCTTTGGCATAATAAAGCCATTAGGTATTCAAAACATTCTCTTAACATGCTGCCTCGGCCTCTCTCACTCTTTCACTCTGTACGGCTGGCTCTTTCACTTGATATTAGTGTGCGCTGGCAGCTCATTAATTCAATTGCATTTTCGTGGAAATTGCCGGCTGTGTTTGGTCTTGGGCAAATTTGCATTTCACTTCATCGTATTGGTGGCAGGACAGGTGAAGCTGCGCTGCGCCGTGGCAGACAGCGCCCAAGTTAGGTGCACTCCACGCGTGGCTAATTGCCTTTGCCTTTGCCTTTGCTTTTGCTGTAGCTGTAGCTGTTGCCCATGAAATATGCAACAGGGTTGCAAGACAGACAACAACTCAGATAGCAATCAAATTCAATCAATTTAATCAAGCAGAATACACACGCGGGTGGAGACAAAAAGAGTGAGCGAGAGAGGGGGAGAGGGGGCAGGCAGGTGGTGGCACATGCGGCGTATGCGCAACGTGGCGGCTGCTGGTGGCGCCTCGTGTTAATTTTAACACGTTACGCACGTAAAGCGTACAAGCGCTGCTAAAAATACATATCATGTATATGTATACAATAAATGTACTTTTATATAGCTGCCATAATATCGAGCAACGTACGCCTACAACACAAACAGAGCAACGACAGCAAACACACGGGGGAAACACACACTTAAACACGCACAGTCATTTGATATACACGCATAACTAGCGCACACAACTTGGCTAGAAGTAAGTTGCGTTACAGAGAGAGTTAGATCTGGCTCTCGCTTGGGGTCTGTGTCTGTGTTTGTGTCTGTGTCTGGGTCTGGGTCTGGGCTACATAATAAAGCAGCCATAAAACAACAAGAAAACGTGCGAAAAACACGTACAAATGAACAGTTGTAGGGACAACATATAGCCAAACAGAGCTGAACTATTGTGGGCCTAAAATGAATTTCGCCAAAATTTCGATAGCTTGACAAAGCAAATGAAATTATTGTATTTGAAATAAAGTTGAATTCATTTTATTTATAATGATTTTTTAAACTAAATAATTTGATTTAAACTTAAGCTAAGTATTCGCTGTTGCTTGGCGAAATTGAGGCGAAAGGGTTTTAGCTTCGTCCACTTGATTAGTTGATTACAGCTGGCGGCTGTGCCTGCGCCAGGGAAATACACAATTCCCAGGCGAAAGGCCCAAAGTCAATGGCAAATTCTTATGCTAAACACGCGCGTGTCTGACGAGCGATTTGCTGGCGTTTTGCTGGTGCTGCTTGGGCTGCTTGGGCTGCTTGGGCCGTGGCTGCTGCTGCTCATTTTGTATATGTTGGCCTGTTGTGTGCATTAAAAAGCATACAAAATAATAAAAATACATGCACATAAATAACACGAGGCAGCTGAAGGGCCCAGCAGAACCGAAACACAAGCAACAAAAATAATAATAAAAATCAAATAAACCGAAAGCAAGAAGACGAAAACCAACGAAAAGGGCAAACCAGCAGCTGAAGCAACTTCGGCATTCCTTTGCGACGTCAAAGTCAACGCAAGGAAAATGCCAACACAAAAGCCACTCACAAAGGCAAAGTAAAGCTGAAGCCAAAGCTGTGCCAAAAAATTTATACAAGCCTCACAATTCTTAAGCCATGGCGAGGCGCGTGAACTTGAATTGATTTGCTTAGAGACTTTTCCACACACACACACACACACGCACTCACATATGCTTGCATGTGTGCGTGTGGTTCCCTTGAGAGAAGTAAACACGACGTCATAATTATAACGAGCCAGCAATTTGTATAGCAGGCCACTGACAACGGGGCGTATGAGCAACTGAAGCAACAAACAATATTTTTATAGCCACAACAACAGAGCGGTAAATTTTTAAAGTGTATTTCAAGAGAAAAGGTTAAATGCAACCGTAAAATGGCAACCGGGCGGGGGCGAGAGTAAGAGAGAGAGAGAGAGAGAGAGGGAAGGATGCTGAGAGAATGAGAGAAATCGAGTTGACAGGGGAATTGTGATAAGGGGCGGCAAGGTGAGGGCTGGGAAAAGATTTATGAAAAATTGGCTTTTGTTTGGCCAAGCGGGTCACAGGCAAACAAGATAACGTACATGTTCTGCCAGTGGGCGTGTGTGTGTGTTTGTGTGCGTGTGTGAACCGAAATGAAAATGTAAAGTTTATGACAGCAGAATTTTTGCATGCTGATGGGCTATGGATATTAAATTCAACTGAATATAAAAAACATATTTAAAAGAAATTTATAGAGTTTGTTGAAATTTGTTCAAATAAAATTAATCACGAGAAAATTTAAAAAATAAATAAATAAAAATTATAGATAATATGAAAATAATTTATATAAAATTATTTACTAACTTTTTTCCAATTATAGGGTAACTCTTAGTCACCACTAGCCCAACTAGCTCTATATATTTATTTGTTTCTGTTTTTTCCCCATCTATGTGCTGTTACATGTTTTCACTTCCGCTCTTGTGTGTGTGTTTATTTTTTAGGAAAACAAAAAAAAAGAGCCCAACTAAAATAAATAAATTAAGCGACATGGCCTCTGCCACGCCCACTGGCCTTGCCACAATGTAGCCAAACAAAGATCGGAAATAAAAATATGAAAACTTGTGTCATAATTTTTCAATTTATCTCAGCGGGTCAACCACAAATAAACAAAAGACGAACAAAAATTTAGCCAATGGCGAACATGGGTTAAATTGGGTTAAAATGACAACCGAATCGAGCACACAGCAAGCATTACAAATACTAAAATAAAATAAAATAAAAAAGGCATTACCAATCTAGAGCAACAAATCAACGGACTAACTGCAGATGCGTCTAAACAATTTCGGAATTTCAGCATTTTTCTGTATTTTTCAGCATTTTCATCTGCCGTTGGCCTTTCGCTTGCGCCATTACTGCATATTCAGGAGTTGGGCTCTGGCTGTTAGCGTTTATGAGCCATGTACAAATAGAATTTCTCATTGTTTATTGTTTATGTTTATGCAATTTAATGTTGCGATCGGAACATATGAAATCTTTTTGGCAACTTGTATGAGAGGCGCCGCCTGCCCCTGCCCCTACTCCTGCCGACTGCATTGACGTCATCCAATTGCATTTGCGGCTGCAACTTGTGCCCTGGCACAATATCAAAGTCAAATTGTCTGTGAAACGCTTTCAGCTGTTGCCAAATCAAATAATCAACGGAAACGTGTTGAAATCAAACAAACCAAAATAAATGCTGCTAAATTGTTTGAACAAAATTACATAAAAATAGACAGAAATTGGATTTGAGTCTGATGGGATCTCAGACATAGTTAATTATTGTGACTTCCATTTAGTTGAATCCCTTCGAAAACTCTATCAGCATTTAGCCACAGCAGCTTGAGCCTGAACTTCTAGCAGCAGCAGCAGCAGCAGGAGCAGAGACAGCATCAACTGCTCTAATCTGGAAATACTTTGCCTCAAATAACTTGAGCGACACAAATAGCTGCAAGAGCTCGAGCTGTGCTTGGAAAAGTCGCGTGTAATCCAAACTCCTGAGCTCCAGCATAGATGGGAATCCTTTGGCTGTCTGTCCCCTTCACACCCCTTGGGCCAGTGCACCTGGCATTAAAGCTACGTAAAGCAAAGTTGAACTCAAACTTGTTGAAAAATTGCAAAACGTTAATCAAAGTTAAGCGGGAGAATGGCGACGGCGACGACGACGACGGCGATGGCGTCGACGCCGACGTCAAAGTTAATTAAATTACAAAGTTATTTAATACTCTGGGAATCGTTACCGTTAGCAGCAGCCAGGAGAATGCAGAAGCAGGTAGCAGCAGCAGGAGCAGAACAAGCAGCAGCAGCAACACCAGCAGGAGCAGACAGGCAAGTGTTGCGCTTGCCAGCACTTTGAACTTTTGCACCCGTCGCCCATTTGGCTGTCTGCGAGGTGTTGGCTCTGCATGGAATTCGAATCCCCTCGAAAACGTGTGTCAGTTTTTAATGAAATGTAATTGAAAGAAATTAAATAGCGCGCAACGCATGAGCTGCCAGAGATTAAGTGAAATGGACTGGACACAAAGGTGAACACGCCCCAAAAGTCAAGTGGAAAGTTGAAAAATGATTCCTTAATGCACGAATTGATATTGTTTCTCTTTGCGGAGCGTATGCACATATATCATATATGGAGAAGACTATAGCCCATATTTATAATAAACAACAACACATATCATTTGCATAGAGCTTTATAATCAGTATTTTTAATCGACTCTTATTAGTCTTGATACAAGTCCAGCAACTCCCAATCGACATCGTGATTTCCATCAAAAAAATCCACATTTTCATCATCGTTCTCACATTGAATCATATTTTCATCGAAATCCGCCAAATCCTCCATTTCATTTAAGTTGTCAGTGACATCATCATCCTTATCCACATTTATATTCTCTATATTTTTCATATTATAACCTTCGTGAGAAAAGCATACATAATTCTCGCTGTCATTCATTTCGTAATTTGCATTCTTTTCAAACCATTCACGCCCTCCAAAATACACCTTTATATACTCTTCAAAACACTCACTCATTTTCTGTTTCTTTTCGAGAGTCCCATTCTTTACGCAGTCCACCTTCACATTCTCTTCATTATTCTCAACCTTATTCTGATTGCAAGTTTTAACCTCACTCTCTCCAGAAGAGTCACTGTCTATTTCTTCACTAGATTCACTCTCAATCTCTTCACTAGTCTCTTCCTCATACTCTTCACTACACTCATCCTCACTCTGTGTGTAAGTATCATTCTCTTCGCCGTCCTCAGTCTCACTCTCTTTATTACTCTCAATTATATTCTGGTTGCAAGTCTTAATCTCATTCTGTCCAGAAATCTTATTCTCGATTTCCTTCCCATTTTCATCCTTATTCTGTCCGCAAGTTTTTATATCATATTCTCTAGAAGAGTCACTCTCAATTTCTTCACTATATTCACTTTCATTCTCTTCACTAATCTCCTCTTCATACTCAGACTCACTCCCTCCACTATAATCATCCTCACTCTGTGTGTAAGTCTCATTCTCTTCGCCGTCCTCGGTTTCCCTCTCTTTATTATTCTCAACTTTACTCTGTTTGCAAGTCTTAATTTCATTCTCTCCAGAATACTTACTCTTAATTTCATTACCATTTTCATCGTTCATCTGTTTGCAAGCCTCAACCTCATCCTCTCCAGAAGACTCATTCTCGGTTTCTTCATTATTTTTATCCTTACTCTCAGAAGACTCACTCTCGATTTCTTCATTATCGTCAATCTTACTCTGTCCGCAAATCTTTATATCATTCTCTCCAGAAGACTCACTCTCAATTTCTTTACCATATTCACACTTATTCTCATCCCTATTCTCCTCCTCATACTCATACTCATACTCATTCCCTCCACACTCATCTTCACTCTGTGTGTAAGTCTGATCCTCTTCGCCGTCTTCAGTCTCAGTCTCTGCAATATTTTTAACTATACTCTGTTTGCAAGTCTTTATCTCATTCACTCCAGATGACTCAGTCTCAATTCCTTCATAATGATAATGATTTGCATTATCAGTCTCATTTTCTTCGCTATACTCTTCCTCACACTCTTCGAAAGTCTCATCTTCCTTCTCTTCAGAAGCCTTTTTTTCATACCCTGCAGTAGCCTCATCTTTATTCTCTTCGGCAGCCTCATCTTTATTCTCTTCGGCTGCCTCATCTTTATTCTCTTCGGCAACCTCATCTTTATTCTCTTCGGTAACCTCATCTTTCTTCTCTACAGAAGCCTCATCTGTCTTCTTTTTAGAAGCCTCATCTTTATACTCTGCAGAAGCCTCAATTTCATTCTCTTCGGAAGCCTCATCTTCATACTCGGCAGTAGCCTCATATTCATTCTCCTCATTCTCTTCGTCGCCCTCATACTCAACGTCACTATCATAACCGGCAGCCCTCTCTTCACAGCTTTCACTTTCAATCTCACTTTCAACTTCGCGTTCAATTTCGCGTTCAAACTCCTCCTCATCGGAGCTTTCCGATGGGAGACCCTTTGGTTTCTGCAAAAAGGGATTGGTGTGGGCTGAAATATAAATAGAAAAGAATATATATAAAGTAATAGATATCTGGAGCATGCTGGCCCATACCCATCGGATTGATCTCGTTGTTGCTCTTGTAGATGTCTGTATCATACACCTCATTTTTCGGCATTAGGGCCGACAAGTAAGCTGGGGTCGTGGACGGCTCCGCAGTGAGCACTATGCGAGAGGGATTGCATGATGAGTTTCTATGAAATAAGAGCTCTTTGGCCGACTCACGCAAAAACTCCGTGTGCTTCCTTTTCGGATGGCGACCGCTGAACAGTGAAGTTGTTGGCAATGTGCGCTGAAAAAATGAGTTGAGCGCACGCTGGGCATTTCGCTGCAGCTGCGCACTACGCTCTCGCTCCATGATATAGCCTCGATCAGTCACAATGCCCATCATGGTGTTCTTGTAGGTGTGTAGTCCAGGGAACGGGGGCAAATGCTTGGGTATGTGCCGTCCACTGCGGGTGCCACGCTGCTGATTGATGTCCTGCTGTGGAGACTGATGAAAGTCGTCGTCTCGGATCTCTGTCGGAGGTAGGGTCACTCCCGGTGGTTGGGTCTCGGGGTCGGCATCACGTATTTCCCGCAAGCCACTCACCCCAATGCCCAGCATGCGGAACGTGCGTTCCACATCAAAGTAACAGGACGTGGAGCGTCCCGCATGGCTAGCGGCATTCGTGGTGATCCTCGCAATGTCACGCACTCCTGCGGGACACAGCACACAGTTAGCTAATGAACAGAAGCGGATGCACTTACTCACTGTTGCGCATCAGGATGACCAGGTTATCAAGCACATGCTGGTTATCCGTTTGGCATTCCTTCTGGATGAGCATTTGCTCCACAATCTGGCGCAATACCTCGTCATAGGGATGCATTATGATGGAATTTGATTCAAGTGCCAGAAAGTCTAAGAATTCTGCAAGTAAATCACTTCTGACAAGCACCCAATTATTTTCTGCTTTCCTTGTGGCTAGTGTCAATTGTCAGCTGCCAGTTGCCAGTGTTGGAAAACGTAACTTTCCTTTGCCTATCGACCGCTCTGCTTCTGGCGAAATGTTAGTCAGTTCAACCTCTGTTGGGAACATGTTTGCATAATCTTTCCATAATCAGCGCCCGTTTCGCTTACTGACTCAATGCCAACAATTAGCCAGCGATTCGAGATGCTTCCCCGCCCCAAAAACTAATTAAAATATTTGCGTTTGACGATCGCGACAAAAAAAACTGCAGGCGCACACACACGCACACGCACACAGAGACACATTTACACCAACACAAAGAACCTAGTTTACGAGCTCGTCTACGTAAAGTTTACGTATCTCGCATCACTCTTAATGAGTTATGCAAATATTTGTAGCTGAATCAATTTTCCAGCATAACAAACATCGCAACTGCCTCCACGAGGCATCAATCGACCAGACAAGCGATTCGACTTGGGCTTTTGAGGAGGCGTAGTTAGAAGTACTAAGTGTGTTTCTAACTACGCCTCCTGAAAGGCTCAAATAAAAATAAAATAAATATAATTGTTGCTGTAGAACTAGACGGAATTTATGTATATGTATGTATGTATGTTGAAGTATGCAAATGATTAAAAATAATTGTTGTTATTTTAATTAATTTTAATTACTATACCTGAGCCTAATAAAATTCTTGTATGTTAAAGAGAAAAGTAAGGCCTACTTCAATTTGTTTGTAAAATAACAGAAGCTTAAATCGTAAGCCAGAGAGTGTTTACATACCCTGTAACTTCAACATACTCCTATACTACATAGAACAAACAGCAAGTCTAATTGCTTATACCCTATCCAAGATAAGTCGTATCAACATACATGGCAGCTTGTTAAGTTTAAAGAAAAAGAACTGGGAGAATGTGCGCGCATTGTGCTTAATGACAAATTTTCACAAGCCACAAAACAGAGACATTCAAGCGACTGAGGCTGGGGCAGCGACTGGGACAGATAGACGCACAGACAGGGCAATGCATCATAAAAGCCGTTGCTGTTGTTGTGGCAACTGGAGGCGGTAATCATGCATGGGGCATAAAAGCAGCGACGACGAGGTTACTGTGTCAATTGAACTCCAGCAGCGCCGTTGGCACAGCAACAACAGCAGCAACAGCAACTACAACAACAACAACAAGGAGAACCGCAAAGCATTTTAGATGCAGACAGCGAAATGCGAGATTCGCATTTGTGACGCCCAAGAGGCTGCCGCAATTGAACAAATTGCACGCCCACCGCCAGCCCCTCGCTAGCTGCCTCTCCCGCTCTCACTCTCGCCCTCTCTCTTCTCTGTCTGTCTCGCTCCCTTCATGCTAATCGTGCGTTGTGGGCGTGCGCGTCTGACATTTGTGCCGGCTGCCTATCGGGCAGCGAAATCAGCGACGTTTAAGTCTCAATCTGGTCCGATTCGCGGCGCAGGCGCAGCTCCTCCCGCAGGCGTTGCCTTGTAGCTTGTTGTTGGATCTGCGATAAAAAAACCAAATTAAATCATTTTGCCACACGCAAATGCTGCCTCACTGTGTCTATGCGTGTGTGTGTGTGTGTGTGTGTGTATATGGCTACTGCACCCATTGTTGCATAAATTTCATTCATAATTAACAAGATGCGCAGCTCGCGTTGCAAGCTGGCAAACAAAATAATTGCCACAATTTGTGTGGCAGCCACAAATTGAGCTGTCTCGTTGTCTCTCCCTCCTCTCTCTTTCTGCTACTCTCTAACTCTTGGCAGAGACAGCGCAGCGCAAGCTAATTCCGACGATTAATTTGATAAGCTAAGAGCTTAAGTCTCAACTGCAAGCGACAGCTAAACAAACCTGCAGCAAATTGATTGAACGGCAGATTACTCTAGAAGTGGTTGCCGCCAGTCGCTGCAGCAACTGGTGCAAATTGGCTTGCAACAAATTGTTCCAGTTAGCCTCGTTTGCCAGATGGATCTATCTGTTGCAGCTTTGTCTGGCACCGTTAAGCCCACGCAGCTGGCCTCGCCGTTCCCACTTAACGCTCTGGCACGATCTTTGCGCCCCCTGGAGAAGGGCAGGTCAATGCTGTCGCCGGTCGTCCATGGCAGGCTAATGCCGGATCTATGGCACGCCCAAGTCATTTGGCAATTGACTCGGAGCTGTGCTGTAACAGGTCTTTTTCTAACGGACTTGTAAGAGATTCTGCTACAGGTGCTTGAACTTGAGCCATGGAACGTGGCTAGCTGGTTCTCATTTGCAAACGGTTTCATCTTGATTTGACTACTAAATGTAACTAACTTTTCTTGCCGAGTTTCCTTTGTTGGAAAAGTGACTTCAGTAAACATTGCCAGCTCCTCACTCTGCTCAAAACATTTGCGAATTTCAATTTATTATGCTCATTGTCAGTCTCTCAGTTGCCGCTCCAGGTGATGTCCTCATTCAATTCTATTCCCTCGCCTCCTCCCACTCGTCCGGTAGAGAATATTTCGCTTGTGCAATACTTGCCATGAAAATCGCATAGAAAGGCACTTGGCTTCTGTCTATTTCCAGCAGCTCGCTTCATAAATAATACATGAAATAATCTTCGTTCATTCCCATGCACACTTCACTGAATGCAAAATGCCATTTTTGAACCATTGAAGGCAACACACATAAAAATGCAATGCATGCAATTTGTTAATGCCGCAGCAACGTCTGCAAAATGTGCCCCAAAAATAAGTGCAACAACAACAATTGGGCCACAATACAAAGTCCAATTGGACTTGTGGACCGAGACGGACAATTGGACCTGGAGCGAGTACAGTGCCAAAATGGCAGCCACTCGAAGATGTCATTGAGTCTGACATGCGTATCGCCCCGCCCTGCCCCGACTCTCCCCTGCCCCGCTCTGCCATGCAGCCCGCCTCACTGTTGTTGTTTTTGTTGTTTTTTCAGTAGCTGCCACTGCTGCAACATCTTTTTCATATTTATCTTATTTGCTTATTTGACTTTTTTGCTGATTTTACGTTGGACTTCCCCCTCGACCCGACTACTTCCATACACCAACCGCACCTTCACATCGACACGTTTATTTTGTTTGTGTTGGTTTGTTTGTTTGCTTTGTGATACGCCTGTAGCTGGTAAATGCGAAATATGGGATACGTTCGACTTAGGTTACCCACATTGTTGTTGTTGTTGTTGTTGTTGTTGTTGTTGTTGTCGACCGGCCCCTCTCCGTTGGAGTCTTCTCCTGCTTCTGGTTTTGCTGTCGCTGGGATATTTCTGTTTTGCCTATGCAAGTGAAATTCGTAATTATGCTTCCAAACGTTCATTTTTAGCACAAATTTTGCATTTCATTTGGTACATTTGGTTCCGTGACATTCCTCAAGTATCGGGCCACATAAATCGAGAACACTAAAAGCAAAGCAACACAAAACAAGCGGCAAAAAATGGAATGAAAGAAAATATCTCTGCATAAATTTGCGGGCTGCTTGGAAAGTTGATTTGAATTTAAATTTCAATCGAATATTTTGCTCTGGCCTGCATTCGTATTGTTTCCTTCCCATTTTGATATACCCTTGCATGAAGGTAGCATGATTTGAGCTTGAAATGTGTGAGGCATCAGACGAAATGATTTACTTTATATTTTATGTATTTTATAGTTGATTTGCTTGCACTGCATTTTATTTTGTTCCATATTTTTAAAAAATAGTTCTTTACTAAATCTAGTAAGTTCTTCAATTGAACTACCTCATATACCCCTTGTAGTGTATAGAGCATTTCCACGCTGTCATAGACAGCTGTTGCCTCTTGATTTTTATTCATATTCCGTTTTTGGGGGCAAAGCAACGAAATTGAATTAATAAATGTGCTCTCAAGTCAGTCAGTGGTTCGCACCACTCCCTCTACCCACCCACACCATTCGGCATTTCTCCAATATTCCGAATTTAGTTTAATTGCCATTTGCATACATATGAGAAACGCTTAAAGTAGTTTACGAAACGCAATTGATAAATTATTCCATTTTATTTGACATAATTGCCTTAGTTTCTTCTTCTTCTTCTCCTTCTTCTTTTTGTTTAACAAATTTCTATTATTGCGCCCAAGCTCGCCCAATTTTAGGCAATTAAGACCAATAAAAAACGGAGCCGTGGGCGTTGCCACCTGTGCCATTTGGGTGGGCGTGGTCGTGGTCGCACGTCATACTGCAAAGAGCAGCATTGTGAAATCGAAAGTCCCCAGACACCAAACAATTGTCAGCTAATGTGGCGCCTGTCTGTTGCCATAATTGGAGCAAAGTTTTCGCGCAAAATGAGACTTCAATTCGATTTGCATAAACGTGCCGCAAATAGAGTCCCATAACAAATAACGGCGGAAAACTGAAATCAACCGCACCGAACTGCAGCCAAATGTCTGTGCGACAAGATGCGGAGCAAACTTTGTTGCAGATGTTGCAACAACAGCGAGCAAAAGCCCCAACTAACGCCAAATGGAAGATGTGGAAAAGCCCAGCACAGTGGAAGAGATGTTGAGTTTGAGAACGTAAAATGAAAGATATTGCAGAAGTTTCAGAAGTAGCGAATTATAGAATAAACCTCTCGCTCTAAAATAAATTCAATCGAAAATCAACTCAGCTGACTAATACCAAATTTTTTTGATTTGAACAATCCAACTATAAAGCAGCACAGTGGAACAGAAATGAATTTTATTAGGCGGCATTCCACAAACATTCTATATATAGAATATTATAACTAAGCAAAAAATTTGCTAATTTGTGCTCTTAACTGGTTAAATCATTAAAGATATTCATAAATCTGGTTTATTCTGTTTGCCAGTAAAAGATTTGGATTTATCGCAACCTCAGCCGATTAATTGAATAAATAATTCATAAACTGTGCAAAGGCTCTACCTAACGTAGTTTATTATGCAGGCAGTCTTAAAATAACTCAATTAGAGGGCTTTTATAGCTATGCAGCCCAGCGTCAGCTGCTCAACTATTTTTAGCCAATGTGTGCACAGGGGAAAAATCGGTAAGCTGCTTACAACGAACTTTCTATTTTCTTGCTATCCAATATACTCCAGCTGAGAACATTCCGATAGTTTGGCTGCAAAGCAGCTTAAGCTTTGCAGCACTGCAGCTGTCGCATGATTTTATGCTATATTTATTTCTTTTCGAGGAAAAAAAAAAAGTATTTTTAGATAATTTAATTTAACTGGGGAATCCTTCAGTTATTCAGTTCACCTGTCGCTGCTCGCTGTTCACCTAAGCAGCAAGAGATAAACTTGTTTACAACTGAAAATAACTATTATTACAAGTTGTTGCTATTGTTGTCGTTTCGTACAATTTGACAGTTTGACAGCAAGCGCGCGCGAGCTTTTGTTGTCCAATTGGAGACGGCTTCCGTGCTCACAGTGGTCTGTGCCGCATTCACAATGGTCACAGTGCGGTCACAGTGAGCGCGCTGGCAATGTTAACAGCATTTATTACGCAATTTGCGAGTATTTAATGTTGCTGTTGTTGTTGCTGCTTGCAATTGTCATTAACCATTAGCCGATCAGCTGGCTAAAAGTCGTGCAGTTGAATAAATGTCAGTTAGTGCTGATTTTTTCGAAATTGGTTTCGGTAATTGACATCTATAATGAGTCGACTCATTAAAGCCTACACTGAGCGCAAAATTGTCAAGCGACGAGCTGAGGATATTGCAAACTCTGATCTTATCCTATAACTAAACTAA